TCCTCACAAACCAACTACATTTTTCTTAACACTATTCGGATAGAGCAAAACTTAATCTTTCTTGACTTTTTTGTTCACACCGATCGCGATATTTTGAGTTACTACTCTTGTTTTACGTTACGTAAGGAAAGTGCTCGAAAATACCGCGGTTTGCCGTGTTTCGTGTACCGTCGTGCCATTGTGCCGTAACTGTTTCCCAGAAGGGCGCAAATCAGAGGAGTAATATACGGATGTAAAAGTGCGAAACTCTAATTAGTATTGAATGCTTCTGCGTAAAGAGCGTATATTGTAGAAAATTACTGTTGCCAGCTAACGTTCTCGAAACCCAGAATAATTGACGCATCGCTCGAGGATTATCCGGCCTGGTTATGAACAGTGTGTTGCCTTACGTTGCGTAGTGCTACAATTGAACAGAGTTCAATTCGAAACCATTCCGAAACCTACATATTATAGATACTCGTATTTATTTTGAGAGTGTCATTGTAGTAGGTCCAGTGGGTATTTTCATATATATATGTTGTCTCTTTTTCTCTTTCTTTCTCTCCTATCTCTGAACTTTAAAAACAGCGAAATTGAAAAAAATATACTAGATATACAATATCAAGATTTTATTAAAACAATTTAATTTTTACTCTTACATATATGTACTATATAGAGTGTCTGCAAAGATCAAGACTAAACTTATGCAATGTGTTAATCAGGTCAAGTAGATGAAAAAAGTTCATATAAACGTATGTCCAAAAATGATTTATTAAAAATTATTATTCTATATCTTCAAGTAAGTGACATGACACATTGAGAATTTTCGAAAGATAGACTTATTTCAGAGAAATTCCTTCTATTTTCACTAAATCGACACTTTATTGACTGGAAGTCAATTGAAACGGAAAGTCGAGAATATGGATACTAATTAAAGGGTTTTCTGAAGAGAATATAAAACAATTTTAATTCTAATTCTGCGTTGTTCCTATGTATTATTTTCGAAAAATAACGTAATAATAAGAAGTTTAGAAAGTTACTGCTTAAGATTCGCGTTAGATGAAGGTTTACGAGTCTTTTTGACGATTGTTTAAATTACTGCAAGTTTTGAAGCGCATTCTCATACCAATTCACAACAAGGAGTAGTTCAAAATGTGGACTTGGTTCGTAGGCTTCATTCGTAGAATCGTTCAAACCCACTTTTAACGACAAACGTAGTCTGCAGTTGCATTGGCGTAGCTTCATGCAACTTCCTTGGTTGTGCATATATTTTATATTTTGCACTTTATATTTTGTCATTACTTTCAGAAAGCTATTACTTATGCATGCTTAATGAAAGAGATTATTATATCTATCATTATACATTACGATAAACATCAATACCAAGATCTTTTTTTTTTGATACCCACGTATATATTATTTTTACACGCAAATATTTATCGATATTGATAAGTAAATTAACATAAATATAAATTTCAAGCATTATAAAAATAATATAATTTTATTTCTGCATTTAGGCAGTTTCAAGCTACGCTAGTGACTAAAAATGGCTCGACGAGTTTTGGCTTACGATCAGAGAAAGAAAGATCGTTATGTCAAATCGGCGAAATTGGTTCTCTGAACATAAATTGCAGCCTGCTTTTGTAGTAGTTAGCTATAACGTCAGAATTTTATAGCGTTATTTCTGCAACTTTAATTGATCGAAAATATTTTGAAATCATGTCGAGTTTCGCATCATACATCGCTTTAAAAAACTATAGTAGAAATGAGATGTCGATATTACCGATATTATACGTAAAATGATGTCGGAGAAAATAATTGAGCATTTACCGTTTCGTTTCTATTTATAATTATCGCGGATTTATGTAGCGCGATATCTTCATGTAACATGGCGTTTCCGACCGCCTCGAAGCGCTCCCGATTCTAATCGAATGCGGCGTGTCATTTCAGTATCAAAATGACAGGTGCCGGGACGTAGTCGAAGCACAAAGCAAATAACACGGCGTATCTATCGTATACGTACGCTTGTCAAGCGTAACGTTGCTTTTATTTATATTTTACGCGAGTTAAATAGCTTTTGGAAAGTGTGCGTTGCGATTGATCCAACTATAATGTCGCGCCATAATATGCTAAATAAATGGCAGCAAACACAATTTGGATTCTTGCCTTGTTCAAACAATCGTGACAAAAATGATCACAATTGGACTTTTAAATTTTAATTCTGCAAAAAATTTGTTGCATGTGTCATATGTTGTATGTTGATAAAAACGCAGTTAATTACAGAAAAGAGGAAATATTTTAATTAAATTACGAAATTAATATTTCCATTAATAGAATCTTAGAAAATAGGAACTTAAAAACTATAAAAGTCATGAAATAGATTTTATCTTATATGCTCTTTAAGGATTAAGGTATATATAATTAGAAAAAAATATATAACACTTGTTGGTAAATATTGCTGGAAATAATATTACTGTTATACAAAATAATATTAATATTATGAAAACGATCAATTGAGGAATACTTTGGTATATTAAGCTATAGCGTGTTGTTTCTCTCTTTCTCTTTTTCGAACATTAAAAGTATTGCGAACGAAATAATCAGGCAACAAAAATGCGTGTAGCACTTGTACGCATAAGCACATTTTACTCACGCCACGCTAATAGCGGGCTTCATTACCTGCACGAAAAAGTCAGCATTCAAGAATACACCAATATAGATGCTAATTATGTATTTTGCACGTACGTGCATTTTAACGTTTACATTCTTTTTTCCACGTGTTCCACAATATAATAATTGTTCGGCAAAATTTCTCAAATACAACATATTTTTTCCAATTTGAAGCTAATTAAAATTAATTATATTTAACAGATATGCAAGTTGCAAGTTAAATTGCCTTTATAAATTAGATATCTCTAGAATAAAGAATATGTGATGAAACATAAGAGAAACAAGTAACGAAAAAGAAGAAAATTTCTTGTATCATAAATTTATAAAAAACATAACTCTTTATATAAAATTCTATATATTTCTATAAAATATATTTATTTATACAAAACATATAACTCTTATACTTTTATCGTATCTGTTATTATCGTAAGTAACTAATCATTTATTGCATCATTTTCCAGATGAAATATCAAATTCAGGATTCAAAATTCTATCCTCGCGATGGATTACTTGATAAAAATAGAGATTGCTGAAAAGCTTAGTCTATGAGAACAAAAAGGGGTATAGAACAGAAGATAGCTGAGAATAATGTGACGACTTCGACTTGTCCGCACACCATTAAAATGTCACTCGTGCCTTCAACGATTTCGTACTCGGGCGCTGATCGCGACGACGGCGCGAGTGAATAATTTTCACCGTTAATACATAATTGATAATCTTCTATATATGGTTAGCAGTCGCGAAGCGCAGTAATGACACCAAAGTGGAGAAGACCCACGCCTAGAGCCCGATTGTCGTCGTCTAAAGATATACCTATCCCAATTAGAGGAATTGACGGTGATTGCTAACCCCGGGAACATGCCTCTCATCGCTTTATATATTTCGTCACTTGATTGTATCTATTCGTGATCTATTGTCGCTTTGATTCCTGTCGCTGGAATTATAATATCTGACAATCTCGCTAATTGCATGAATTCTTCATTTCTTCTGTATTACATTAGAATAAATGCGCAAAGAAGCGTGTATACTTTAATTGTACAAAAGTCTTAATATATAATTTGATTCGGCAAAAGAAGTAGTGTCTGTAGGAGAGTAAGGCACAGGTAAAAGTAAAGAAACTTCTTTTCTTCCCGCCGAGGTAAATTAATGAAGACCTCTATATCAAGCATGATCCGTTATCTTTGAAGCTGCAGAGATGAAGTATAACATTTCACAATAACAAAAACGATAAGCCAATTAGTATATGTTTCAGGCAATGTTCGATATCTTTTCTTTTTCTCCGATACATAATTATATAAGCCATAATTAATTATATAAACCATATGTATCTTTCTCACCAATTTCTAAAAAAAGATATTTATGTCTGAAGATGTTCTTTTGCTTTCATTCAACATTGTTAAAAATTGAAATAGTTTTATATAAATTAATTAATCTATTATATTTTTAATTTCTTTTATTACATTATTCAGCTGAGAGAGAGAGAGAGAGAGAGAGAGAGAGAGAGAGAGAGAGAGAGAGAGAGAGAGAGAGAGAGAGAAAGAGAGAGAGAGAGAGAGAGAGAATTTAATGAAAAATCCCTTTATCGATTAGAAATTAAAATTAAATAACTGTTAATTTATCGTATTTGAAAATGTCACTAATGGTATTACGTTACTAATTGATGCCGCTTGATATAATGTACACATATATACCTATTATGTATATGTAATTAATTTTTTATTGAATGTTTGGGATTACGTAATTTTTCGTGTCAAACTATCTGTTTTGTGACCAAAAAGTTAATGAAATAGTTATAGCTGCATATGTACATATACGTATAGAAGTTACAGTACTTTTAATAAAGGACATTTGCGACTATTAAAAATGATAGAATTTCATTGTTTTACAGAAATTTTTGCAAAAAACTATGCTCTTACCTATGGTTTATTCTCCAATAAATTTAGTTAAGTTGTAAATCTTTTTTTATTTTATGTCTCTGACTTTTTATTTAGTCCATATTAGGTTACTTGAAGTCAATTTGATACGTTTTTACGGCTTGACATTAGCTTAATCTAGTCTGGACGCTTTTCCAACTATTAGTCTGGAAATATTATAAATTTAATTATGTAATTCTATTATTTAGTTAATAGAATTACATAATTAAATAGTGAAAATATAAATAAATATAATGTTTCAAATCGTCTAAATATCTCTTTTCGTTGTTTTAAAAACAAAATTTTTACAGAACGCCTCGTTTTGAACACTATAATTTCTTTTTGACCAGAAAAGGGCCATATTATTGTAAATATATTTATAGTTTAAATCGTTTGTTCACACAAGATCAACTGATTTGTATGATAATGCAGACATACCTGCCAATCTATCCTTGAGATGCGGATGCGCCTGCAAAGGATGCGAAGCGAGATTCGCCAGGAGACTCGCTCTGTGTAAACCGGCCGCCGCAGCCTGTTGCTGGGTATGTTGAAGAGCCTGCAAACTCCAAGGCGGTATCAACGTCTGTGCGGGCAAGGCACCAGTCGGTGTACCGTTCGCACCCGGTGGCCGATGCGCCGGCACTCTTATGACGCTACCACCGGTGTAGATAAGTCCAGTGCCAGTGGGAAAGAGTCTGAAAGGGGCAAGGAGATCCGATGTCGAGACACAATGAACAGACGACGTGTTAGTGCGAATGTCGCTGTCATCGTCGTCCTTTTCCGAGAGCTTCTCTTCAACGTCGTGATTCCAAGATCTGCCATCCTCCGGAACGCCTGAAGACGTTTGATGATTATTATCACTGTTGTTATTATTGTTGTTGTTGCCTTCATCCCACGACCACTTCCTCTCTTTGTCGCTGTCTGGTTCCTCCGAGGATGGGCTTTTGAGATTTTGAACGTCATTTTCGCCAAGTAAACGGCTGATGCTAAACGGGTGACTTCGCGAAGAGTCGTTCGGTAGCGTTCTTGCACCGATTTGACTTGGAAGTGGCGAGGTTGAGCACTCAGACGTCTCTTGAGACATGTGGCGGGCATCGTAGCTCGTGTAATTACGGGGACTGCAGCTCCGGGAATCGGAGTCATCCACGTTGATCTCCTCCGTCGCGTCTACATCACTATCACCGTGCTCTGACATGATTTCCTGCTTTACCTCGCGAAAACTCACGTTGCTCAGAATCGACTTTCGCGATGATAACGTGCTTCAAATGATGACTGTCTTTATCACATTATCATACATTCGTGGTAATTTGCAAACCAACACTGAGTGAAATAGTAAATAATAAAACATTAACACATTTAATTAAAAATGATCAATAAAAATAAACTTGATAAAGGACTAGATTATAACATATATATATATACATGTATATATATATATATCGAGTTGTGAAATATACGGCAACGATTTGAGCTTATTGCAATTTGTTTCGGATAATTTCTTAAACTTGTCATTAAGTGGCGGCCATTTTATTTCTATGCGTGTATACTGGTATCGTTTGTACAAAGATTTTATTGGATGTTCATTTGCCACCAAATTTCTTCTCACGAATTTACTCTATCTTATTTTCTTCGGTCTCTTTCAGATGAAGATGATACATATAACACACTTCAACACTTGTTTTCTTCACTATGTTGGTCTGTTTTTCTGATATATAAACTATAATCTTGTACATCAATACACCACGTTTTCGAAAACTAATAAAATTTATTCTCTCGTATCATGTTTTTTTTCAGCAGATAAATCAAAAGACAACAAGCCTCTTTCGAGGCTGATCTTTCAGTCATTTTGGACGAAAACAAGGATACCTCTTCTGTTCCATGAAGGAATACTTGACGCTGAAAATATTTCACCGATCCAGATCAATACTTCGGATTTACAGAAACTCTCATCACACCATATCATCTATAATTCTTGAGATTTTTACAATTTTAGACCAATATTTCGTACTTAGAAAAACACTGACGAAACTCACAAAGAAATGTCGCATCTCATGAAAATAAAGTGCTCGCGCGATTATCGAAAACGGAGAGCGCTTCGTTGCCCGTTTGCTGAGATTTTGTTAACTTGGCGAACGGAGCGCCAGCGAGAATACGTGGACCACTTCGGCCGCGTCGAGAGAGACGGGACGTTGTGAGAGTACCGACGAGAACAGATGGTGTATCCCTACCAGAACGGCGTGACGCGCCGACTCGCAACGTCAGACCTTACATCCAGCCCACCGTTGCTTGCGCGGCCAATCAGGCGGCGATGTTTTACGCCCACAACCGCGCGCATTGGTCGCTGTTAAATTGATACCTATTTAACATTTGAGCAGAATGTTGCAGGCGATCGCCTTTTTTCCTCTGTATTATTTATTGTCCGATCGTCGTACCTCCTTTTTTCACCCTCTTCCTTTTCGCTCGCTTGCTCGCTTCTTCTTCCTTCGTATTTCTTCTTCTGCCAGCGCGTTCTCTGAGCGGCTATGGCTTTCTTCTGCTCTCTTTGCTCTCTCTCTTTCTCTCTCTCTCTCTCTCTCTCATCTCTCTTCTCCATCCCTTTTCCTCCCTTCCTCCCTTCTTCTTTCTCTCTCTTTCTCTCTTGCTATTGTCGACTCGCGTCTTCTTCTCGCTTCGAAAACGCGCCGTATCGAGTCAAGGAAGCAGCGGGACTTAATTACGGAGAACATTCTTGCTGCTTTTGCTCCTCCTCCTCTCTCTGTCTCCCACTTGTTCGTCTTATAGTAGTTTTGTATCATGGACGCCGTAAAGTAAATGCAACAGCAGCACTTGCGTCTTTTTAACTTTAGACGTACGTGAGATATAAGCGAAAGATTTCATATAGCAGACAATATTTCATTAATATATGTATTTAATTCTTTACGTTCAACGTGCGAAAACAAAAAGTACTGAAATTACTAACAAGACACGATGAGACTCGACTTATTATCTAATAATCCTGATTCTCAGTTCTATTATTAATCAACTTTAACGTTATTTAATTATATCTTGCGGTATGTACTATCTAAAGATTTTTCTGAAGAGATAGGCCAATATTCTTCGATACTAGAAACTTTCTCACAACCGATCGATTAGTCATCGCGCCACTCTGGAATGGCTGTTCGACCGCGTAAATGCGCGAGCGCGTCTTTTATGTGCGCTGGTTGAAAATGGTGACTCTGTCGACAAGCTCTCGACCCGCCATTTTCCACGACCTATGGGGAAGACGTATATCTTTCCCTTCACACAAGTGGGGGAAAAAGCACTTTTTGCTGCACTTTCAACGGAGTTACGATTTACCATACTATTATATATATCAAGTTGCTTTAGACTGCAATTAAATCAATTGAACACTAATTCTTTTATGTAAAAAGAGAGTTGTTTTTGATATATTAATTCAAAGATTATATCTATCTTATGAAAGTTATCGAAATTTCAAAATCATATTACCTCAAGATTTCCTAAATCATGCAATTTACGCACTCATGCTTCGTCTTTTTCTCTTTATACTATAGGTTATGATTATTATAAATATTCAGTAGATATTGGCAGTGACTATTGGAACGCAGCGCTACTTTATTAATAAATAAATGTCAAATATAGAGATTAAAAGGTCATGTAGTTAATTTATTCAAATATATTGTTACAGAGAGAGAGAGAGAGAGAGAAAAAACATAAAAACATAAATATAATAATATTATACGTAATACAATTATACGTAATTTTAAAAAATACTAACAAAATATATAAATACATAAGTATATTTTGTAGAACAAAAATCCAAGGGACGTAATTTACATAAGATCATATACGATTAACATAACTTTTACATTACGTTGTAAAAAGACTCTTATAACAAAGTTGTTTGCCCTTGAAAAGAAATAAAATAGTGTATACAATAACATATACTTTTAAGTTAGAATTTTTGATAGTAATTTGTGTACAAATTAGTCTCAAATTTTTAATTAGAAACGTATGTGTATCCTTACGTAAGAGAACTGCTTGTAATTTAATAAGTAGTGTGAGAATAGATGTATGTTAACGGACATAATTAGTTTCATTGGAAATAAGTATACACTTTATATATATTTTCTAACATAACTTATGTTATCTATGATGTAATGTTGCAATTATGTATTGAATATTGAATATATTGAATGCGCTCTCTCTTCTTTTCTCACTCACTCACTTACTTTCTTTGTCTTTTTTTGATACTGCACAACTCTAGTTTCTATAAAATCAGTTCCCTCTTCTAAAACTATACTATCTGTACGTCTTTCAATGTGATTTGTGCGTTCCGATCAATTTGGGTGTCAGGCGTCTATGTGTCACTTAGACGTTTTCACCGTCACCAGAATAATTCATGTTACACTTTGGAGCTGGTATAAACCCTATACGAAAAGAGCGACTCGACTAAAGCACACAAGTAGGAAGAAGAGAAAGTGATGAAGAGGAACAGAACTGAAAAGGATGAGATATACAAGAAAAACGCAGGGTGACCGCTCGTCAACGATGGCCGGAAATGTGTTGACGTGAAGAAACAAACCTGTGATGCATGAAAAATGGCATTCTTTATTTAAAAGTCTTAACTTATTCACATCTCACAGTTAATGCAAAAAAATTATGTGGTATGTTGAGAAAAACCCGTCAACATTTTTTAAAGTACGAAAAGATCATTTACAGAAAAAATGTCGAATATAGAAATAACTTTTTTTTATTTGTGTGCATTAAGCAATTCTCCCTGTAAGAAGTCAAAAGACAGTACGTGCCCCTTTTGCTGAAAATTAGTCCCAGAAGTCTATTGCTACGCACTCTTGTAATCGTTGAGAACGCTGGCATCACAACCCCTATTGCTGTATGTAGAGTTTCGCATTACGCAGACAGAATATTTATCTCGTAACGGAGCAGTGGCGATGCTAAATAATTGATTGAAGAAGGGTGTGCTCGAAGCGGTGTATCAAAGAACAGAAAGAGATGGAAAACAACAAAATGCAGTTTCCAACGTCGATGCAAAGTTACTGCAAATTTGGTTAAACGATAGATGCAACTAATTTTTACTTAAGGAAGAAAATTATATTCAATCTTGATTCTTGATAAAAAGGATTGATTTTTTAATATAAATTTTTTACGTAATAGACAAATTGTTTATTTACTTATTTTAACAACTTTTTAAAAAAAGTATTTATAAACTTAAAAGTAAACGCGGCAAATATAAGAGTCAAACACACACGTACCATTCTATTAAAAAGAGTGTAATTTTTTATATACTCTAAGTAATAATATGTATAATCAATGCGGAATTAAAACTTTTGGTTACGTATTTTTTTATGATTATGATACAACTTCTCTGAAGTCTCTTAAACAAATTTACAAAGAAGTATCATCTGCCAGTAATAATTACCATCAATAATGTTCAATCATTTTTCATAAAAAAAAGTCTTCATAATTACGACGCCATTACGCCAACGTCTTGTAGCTGCGTATTATCTTGGCGCGATGATGGCTCCATTAACCGATTGCTATTGTATAACAATACAATTGGAGAAAACACATGTGACACTGCAATCAAACGAATGGTGATAAATGATTATAAGCAATAGCGATTTACGAAAAGCATATATAAGTAAGACTTGATATTTGGTTGCAGGTCCGCAACCCTGTTCCTCGCCGACATAATCAGGGAGAACGCTCCCTTCTTTCGCGTTCTATTCGCGACCTACGCACAGAACGTGATACGAAACAGAGACATCAATTTCGTTACGGCGGCGCACCCATGTGAGAATCGTGACCGCGCGACACCTACCTACCTACGTCGTGCTCCAAATTGTTATGATTCCCCGAGTCATATCTCCCTGTGGAATTGACTCGTGCGACCACGGGGGGTCCGATACACCCCTCGATTTCGGCTATTTTGTGCGCATGCTTTGTCGAGGGATCGTTGCCATTCTTCAATAAAGCGTGTAATCAAGCTAGGTGCAACGATGCATGTCAAACTATTGAACATTTACAATTTTATCTCTTTGTATTTTTAATAAATAAAATGGAAAGATGTAAATAGTGCAATTTTAATTTTGTTATTTTCACTAAAAATAATAAAACAATAATAAATTATAGAATAATGTGTATGTATATGTCTGTAGACATTCTAATGTAAATCTTTGCTATATCTAAAGAGAAAATATAGTTTGTTGTTCGGACAACTGATTTATCGTGAAACATACAGTATCATATATATCAAATTAAATTTGATTGCGACGTCAATAACGTTTAGCTTGCACGTCAAAGCTTTACGTGATACGATATAAAATAACGATAGTATAGACATATCTTACGAAAGAAAGAAATATATTTTAAACAATCATGTGTGCGAGCTTCATTTCTGTCTATATTACAATTTGTTTACTGAACTTACAAAAAACTGGCTATATTAGACGAGAAATACATACATTATCGTGCAATACACGATATTACAGAAGTCGAAAGACTTCGATCTAATAAATCCTACTTTTTATGGATAATTTTGAATTTCGCATTTTACGATATTTAAATTCGAGATAGTCGACGCAATAAAATGTATTTAAAATATAAGAAATAATTTTATCTCTTGTCGAACAATTGTTTTCTTAGATACTAAACAATTTTCTGAAATACAAAGCAATTTGGTAAATCCAGTTTTCGCAATCAGCAATTTTTTAATGCTATAAAACATGCAGTGCGCTCTCCTTGAGAACAATCTGTTCGTTCTTTCTCACGTTACTCCGACCTTACAATGATCCACTTGCGTCTATCTCGATGCTCGATTTATGAGATAATACACTTATATACTTGCTTTAGATTTGTACCATTACCACTGCATATATTCGCTCAGGACAAAAGGGAATAATTTGTGTATATACTCTCACTTAATATTAAATTCCTCTGGTTTTTTTTTACGTGAGAGAATAAGAGAGAGATGGTTTAAAAACTATATTATAATTGTTAATGCAGTCAAAAATCAGACAATATGTGCATCGAGTAAATTGTAATTTTACTTGGCGAAATACCGAATTGTAGAGATTCGAACAGAAGTGAGTCATTTTAGAACAGTTTTATCTCCGCTAAAACATTCATGCATGGGACAGTTACGGACACTGAA